TATGCACCAACTTGAGGGGTTGAGGGGGAATGTTAGATTATAGATATTAGTATATTTTATATTCTCGTATTAATATTAATTTGTCCTTTACCTTCTCCTCATAGGATTAGGTCAACCTTGTATATTTGTCTATATATATAGACTTTAATAATGAGAATACATCACATTGGATTCTCTCCACCCTTAGTCTCTACAAACTCTATGTTGGATTGTATCTTCTTAGAGCAACTAGTTCTCCACCAATAAATGAATGCAATAAACTTGTACTCAATCCACATTGAGTCTTTAAATCACAAAGATAGTCATGTCATGATGTTGCACTATCGTTTCGGTCACCCCAATTTTGTTTATCTCGAGCGCCTGTTCCCTTCCTTATTTCTCAATAAGAAGAGTCAGTTTCTCAAGTGTGAGATTTGTTAACTCTCCATATACACACGTGCACATTATTCACCCCATATTTATTCTCCATATCAACCTTTCTCTCTAATCCATGGAGATATTTGGGGACCTTCAAGGGTAAAAAATATCAATGGGGCTCGTTGGTTCCTCCTTTTTTGTTGATGACCATACACGTTCGAGTTGCACATTCCTTGTGAAAGATAAATCTAAAGCTAGCCAACTATTCACAACCTTTCGTAAAATGATCCTAAATCAGTTTCAAGTCAATATCCAAGCACTTAAAACTAATAATGCACGTGACTTTTTCAACTCTACTCTTGGAACATATCTTCAATCCCATAGTATTGTTCACCAAAAGGAGGTGTTTACACACCCCAGCAAAATGGTGTCGTTGAATGCAAAAATCATCATCTTCTCGACATAGCCCGATCCCTAATGCTCACATCACATGTTCCAAAATCTTTTTGGGGTGAGGTTGTTCTCACTGCTACCTATCTCATAAACCAATTGTCCTCTCGCATTTTCAAATTCAACACACCCTTGCAAAGTTTATTTACGATCTATCCTACATCCCATCTCGTGTCTCAACTACCATTAACAATATTTGGGTGTACGCCATTTGTTCATATATATCCTCAGCATCAGAGTAAACTTGATGCACGATCCACAAAATGTGTCTTTCTTGGATACTCACCAAATTAGAAAGGATACAAATGTTATCATCCTCCATCTCAAAAATTCTTTCATACCATGGATGTCACATTCTTTGAAAATCAACCGTATTATCCCAATTCTGTAATTCAAGGGGAGCATTCTGATCTTGAATCACAAAATTGGGATCGTATTCCTGATTTTCCTGTTAACTTTAAACCAACATTTGAAAGTTCACTTGTACTCTCTTCTGAGTCCTTCCTTATCCAGCTCTGAGTCTAAACGGCAAGTTTATTCATGAAGAGCGAGACAACCTGAGAGGATTGAAATACAACCTACACAAGTTCAGCAAAGCCAAGATCTAAACTAAAATCCTAGTGTCCCTGAAATAGCACACTAGATGTCAGAAGATAATAGACTCATTGCTGTGAGGAAAGGTGTTCACTCATGTACTCAACATCCTATACGGTATCATTTATCTTACACTAATTTGTCGTTATGTTTTAAAGCATTTGTAACGGCACTAGATCAGATAAAAATTCCCAACACAATTCAAGAAGCGATATAGAGACCTAACTGGAAAGCTACCACCTTAGAAGAGCTACAAGCTCTGGAGAAAAATGGGGCTTGGAGTCTTACAAACTCACCCCCAAGTAAGCGTACAGTTGGATGTAAATGGATTTTTTCGACCAAACACAAATCAGATGGCAGTATAGAGCGCTTCAAAGCTCACCTTGTGGCTTGTAGAGACTAAGGTTGGAGAGAATCTAATGTGATGTATTCTCATTATTAAAGTCTATATATAGACAAATATACAAGGTTGACCTAATCCTATAAGGAGAAGGTAAAGGACAAATTAATATTAATAGAAGAATATAAAATATACTAATATCTATACTCTAACACTCCCCCTCAAGTTGGTGCATACATATTAATCATGCCTAACTTGTTAGACAAATAATCTATTCATGCTCCATTCAACTTGTGTTCTGTGATTTTTGATATCATTGGGATCACCTCAGAAGTTACGATTGATTTCTTCTCAGTCATAACAAATAAACGAACTTATTTGAACAAAACGACAGAACCAGACCAAACCACCCGAACCAAACAAAACAAATGAATCAAATTGCTGGAACCAAACCGGACTAGGTGTTTTCTGAAACCAGAAACCCTAAGTGCTACCCCACGACAACCAGAAGGGCGAAGGCGACGGGTGGCGACTGGCGGTGACGAAAGCACACGACGACAGCGACGGCGATTGGCGGCGAGACGAAACCCACGACCAGCAATCGGAAAACAGCAGCGCTGGCGAATCAGCAAATAGCGGCGATCGGCAGAGGCAACGGCAGTAGTTGTGAGTTGAGTTGGATAGCAATGAACAAAACTCTAATGGGCACAAAACCCTAATGGGCAAGAAACCTAGAGCTCTGATACCATGTAAAGACTAAGGTTTGAGAGAATCCAAGGTGATGTATTCTCATTATTAAAGTCTATATATAGACAAATATACAAGGTTGACCTAATCCTATAAGGAGAAGGTAAATGACAAATTAATATTAATACAAGAATATAAAATATACTAATATCTATACTCTAACATGGCTAAAGGATTTACCCAAGCTTAAGGGATTGACCATCAGGAAACCTTTGCTCCAGTTGCCAAGTTGAATACTATTCAGGTACTACTCTCTATTGTAACAAATCTTTTGATAAGTCTATTGTAACAAATCTAGATTGGCCATTGTTTCAACTTGATGTAAAGCATTTCTAAATGGCAATTTTGTAGAAGAAGTGTACTTGAGCATACCTACTGGATTTGAGAATAGGTACACCAAAGGGAAGGTATGCAAACTCAAGAAGTCTATCTATGGACTAAAGCAGTCACCTCGAGTATGGTTTGAAAAATTTACAATTGTGTTGAAACAAAACGGCTATAATCAATGTCAATCCGACCATACCCTCTTCATCGAGCATTTCTCACTAAGTAAGATCATTGTATTAATAGTATATGTTGATGATATAATTCTTACGGGAAATATTTATGAGGAAATGGTTCGACTGAAGCAACTTCTCTCAAAGAAATTTGAGATCAAAGACTTGGGAGTTGGGACACCTAAGGTATTTCCTAGGAATGGAAATCGTAAGATCTAGTAAAGGGATTTCTATAACTCGGAAAAAGTACACCTTAGATCTCCTAAGAGAAATCGGGATGAGTGGCTGCAAACCGACAGATACACCTATGGATGCAAACTCAAAACTTAGAGTTAATCCCGAAGATGAACCAATTGATCAAGGTAGATATCAACGTCTAGTTGGAAAGCTTATATACTTAACTCATACACGGTCAAACATTAGCTTTGTGTTGGTATAGTAAGTCAATTTCTGAACAAACTTTGAAGGAACATATGGAAGTTGTATATAGAATATTGAGATATCTTAAGTACGATCCTGGTAAGGGACTCATGTTCAAGAAGACCACAAACAGAACTCTTGAAGTCTCCATTGATGCAGATTGGGTTGGATCTCCAATTGACCGGAAGTCAACATCACGATATTGTTCCTATGTATGGGGAAACTTAGGCACTTGGTGCAGTAAGAAACAAAAGGTTGTAGCCCGAAGTAGTGTTGAAGCTGAGTTTCGATCATTACCCCATGGTATTTGTGAAGGAATTTGGTTGAAACGCCTTCACACTAAGCTCAAGATCAAGACTGAAGGTACTATAAAGGTACTATATGATAATCAATCTACCATAGTCATTGCGAGAAATCCAAATACATCATTATCAGATGAAACACGTTGAAATAGACCGTCACTTCATTAGTGAGAAGATTGAGACAAAGACAGTCAATTTGAGATATGTGGCTTCCCAACAACAAGCAGTTGACATATTAACTAAGGCATTGCATCGAACCTGCCTTACTAGATTGATTTCGAAACTTGGAATGACGAGCATGTATCATTCAGCTTGAGGGGGAATGTAGAAATTCGAACTGAAATTTGGTTTTCAAATTAGGAATTACTTCCCTTGTATACTATGTAATTTATATTTTCTTTGTAGATCTAGATTAACTCCTTATTTCTAGCTTTTGATTGAAAGTAATCTTGTATAAATATCACATCCTATTGTATTAAGATGAATAAGAAAATTTCTTCTCAAAAAGCTTCAAAAAAGTATGTCAGTTAAAGGAATCTTTATATGGTAGGGGTGTATGTCGGTCGGTCAGGTCGATTTTCAGGCCAAAACGCCTGCCGACCGACCTATTTTCCTTCTTTCTCGCCAACCAACATTCTGTCAGTTGGTTTCGGTCGGTGAACCGACCTTTTTTAACAAGCTATAAATATTTCAATGTTAATTGTTATTTTTATCCTTATTTCCTTCTTTGTATTGAGTCTTTCTTCTATATAAGAAGGCTAGGTATTTCTTACTTTGATATACTGGAATCCAAATATTTTATTCCATCTAAATTGTTATCGATGAATAAACCACCACTCAAATCAAAAGCTTAAGCTGATGGATTAGGTAAATTTAATTCATACATGATATCTCAACACTCCTTCTCACTTGTGGGCTTTAAAAATTGCAACAAAACCCAACAAGTGGAAATCATAATAAATGAGGAAGCAATAACAATGCAGGAGTTCGAACATAGAACCTCTTGCTTTGATACCATGTTAAGGATGAATAAACCACCACTCAACCCAAAAGCTTAAGTTGATTGGTTGGGTAAATTTAACTCATATATAGATATCTCAACAACAACCAAAAATCATAAAGAAGGCGTCTCATAAACTCTTAATGAATTAATGGACAAATGAATGTTCTACACTTTGCCTGCAGTACCAAACATCAAGCATCTTTATTTTCAAGTACATCATTATACACTTCCAAAAAATGGAATGGTTGTGCAAGAATTTGTTGCAGGAGGTTGATAGRAGTTAATATTACCTGAACATATTTAGTAGAAGCCTCCTTGATGTTAAGAGTGAAGTTCTCATTCCATGTTGGCTCCTTTGTCCTATCATAACATGTTAGAATGGTAATTAGAGGAAAGTAAAAAATCCATCAAAAGTTACAGTGAAATGCTTACATCTTTCAAAACCCAGAAGTTTTTAAAACTAACAACTTCCTTTAGGACTATATGGGAGCTAAAATAACAAAGAATTTAAAGAAAGTCCCCCTTTATTTTTTTGTTGAGATGTAATTTAATTGATGATAGGGAAAACCCCAATCCAAGGGAGTTACAAAAAATCTCTACAATTGGATAGAAAAGAAGAAAAGCTACAGTAATGAAAAAGAGGAGAGCATTTGCACCAAGTGATGATCGAAAAAACTATATCAAAAAACCACTCAAAAGGAAGTTCCTTGTCTTTGGAGATCTTTGGTTCCTTTCTTGCCAAGTAAGCCACAAAAACGCACTTAGAGCATCCACAAAAGCTTAAATAAGATCCCAAATTCAATATTATTTATGTAAATATCTCCCAGTACAGGCTTTTTCCTTGGAATCCTTTTTTCCTTTCCTTTCCTTTCTCTTTTATTGCTACCATTAAGACCTTTAGTTATAAATTATGGCAGTAATATTTGTCAGTTGTAATGAAGTGTCATATCACTTATACATGATGGAGAATTTTAGTACGAATACATTCCTCACCCCCATTTTGTCTTGCTTTTAGCAACCTGACCATCCAATTGAAACAGCACATATGGATCGCTTGTTCCCTGAAAGCATGTCAAAACAAGGAACAAAGATATAGGAAGTGGCGAGAATGTATAGCATTAGAAGCAAAAAGAACACATAGTGATTGTATAAAGCGAATAGCTTTGCCCCCAAGAGGCAGCCCAGTTGGCAAGGGCTTGGGGTCTCATGGTCATACTGACTTAGAGGTCTCAAGTTCAAATTTTATGGTGAGCTTAATACCAAAAACCCTGGACGTCTCCTAGGTCCGGACCTTGGGGCAAGCGCCGATGCCCTTAGGTATAGGGGAGCAAAGCTCCAAACTCCCCATTCTCAAAAATAATAATAATAATAATAATAATAATAATAATAAAGCGAATAGCTTTTTAAAAAATATAGTTTTGTTTCAGAACACTCGAATAGTAATGCAACGATACCAGAGACATGCAGGATACTATGGATAGTGCCTTGTTTTCTGTTAGAAACATTAGGCATATAATCAAAGGCATGTCCAAAATTAGAAGGATCACGTATCCCCCAAAGAGAGGCCAAAATTAACAATAAAAGAATCCTAAAATTTATATTAATTGAAAAGAAAATTAAGGGCAGCGACAAAATTTTTGGGGAGTAAAAGACAAACTAAACATTAATATATGCCTCAGCACAAATGTCTCGAGAGCTTCTCTTCTGAAGACAATATTTCCATGCCTTTCTTTCCAGACTTACTTCCCAAGAGGAGAGACCATTACAAAATTGAATTTTTCCTAAGACCCTGGCTTTCCCACGGAAGTTAGAAAATTAAAACTATATCTCATAGCAGAAAAAAAACAAAAAAAATAATACTAAGGGAAAGGAGCTACCCATAGATCCATTGCAGGAAAATCAATGCCCTTCTTCAGCTTTATGAATAGTTGACCATCATATATCTCTCGAATAAATGATCTGCGTGAGCGAATCATTACTGTACTTAAAAGTTGGATTTATGAATAAAAATTGGCATGTCCAATGGTGAACTCAAATAAACCTAGTTACAGTCAATAGCAAAAAGAATTATGAACCACTTTTTTTCCCTTTTTTGGTGAACCACTACTACAGTAGGGTAAATATACAACTAAAGAATCCAAGACTTCCTTCAGGCTTCAACACAAGGACAGTGATTACATACTCTGAAAGATATACAGTCGTACAACCTGCAGCGTCAACTTCACACCTCCCAAAATTTTCCTGTAACAAAAAGGAGATTGTTTTAAGATCACAAGAGAAAAAAATTAAACTCACTTATAAGAGAGATACAAAACGAAGTTATCATTCAAACCCCTTAGCAAGGATCTTACAAAAATTGCCCTCCAATTAGCACAAATAGGAAAAAAAAATTATTTAGAAAGGGCTCTCCTAGAAAAATGATACGTTCCAACCATTTCAAAGGAAACGTGAATTTTTCATTGATTAATGAAAAGAAACATGTTAAAGGATACAAACTTCTAAGAGAATGGAAATAAGAAAGAAAAGCTAGAAAAGATGAAACAAAAACTTCCCAGTTGAAACAAATATCACTAGCAAAATAGCGTGTAAATGAACTAGAAAGAGAACACCCTGAAATTGAAAGTATCGAGGTGCTCCACATACATCCTTCGTTTGCCTTAAAAATCCTTTGATTTCACTCGAACCAAATTTCTGAAATAATACTAGACTTTACTGCATTATTGTTTCTTCTCTTTTTCATGGCCCTGATTTTTGAAAGTTTTGCAATGCAATTCTTTTCAGAGCTCTGTTTTTCTTTTACTTTTTTCTCACTCATTTTCGGGGTTTGTTTCTTTTGAACATTTGTAGTTCCATTACATTTTTTCAATGAGAAGATTGTATCTTGTTAAAAAAAATTGTACAAAGAATTACAAGAAAAATCAATAGCGTACATATGACAATCTTTGTGGTGTGCACTAAGATTGGCTGTTTGAATACTATAAACAAGGAAGCCAATTCGCCGATTTCTCTACCATAGAGAGCTCTACGGGGAAGATGAATTGCCAGATAACAAGATAACTGAAGAAAAGAAGATCTTCAGTGGAGTGCTTCAACTTGGCTAAGTTTAAAGCGTCTCAATGGTGTGCTCTATCCAATCTTTTTGCTAATTATTCTCCAAACATGATATATGTTAATTGGGGGACTTTCATTTTTTCTAGTTAGACACACACAGGATGATACTCTGTCTTTTTATTTTTGCTATTCTGGATTGTATCTTTTTATTTTATGTTTTTTCACTCCCTTGGGAGTTTGTATCTTTGAACATTTTATGTTCCTTTTCATCCATCAATGAAAAGTT